CCCACCGCCTCGCCGACGTGGGGATACAGGGGCTCGCTCTTCAATGGCTTGCCTCTTTTCTCCAAGGTCGGGGACAGAGGGTGGCGATAGGGGAACAGCAGTCCCGGAGGCACCCACTTGAATGTGGTGTGCCTCAGGGGGCAGTGCCTTTTAACATCTACATGCGTCCCCTCGCCCAGATTGCCAGGAGATATAGGCTGGGTTGCCATCAGTATGCAGATGACACCCAGCTCTATCTGATATTAGGTGGCCGGTCGGGCTCCGACTTAGAAGATCTGAACCGGGGATTACAAGCCGTGGCTGGGTGGCTCAGGCTGAGCTGGCTGAAATTAAACCCAGCGAAGACGGAGGTCCTGGGCCTGAGTCGGAACGGCTCGGGGTTGGGGCTCCCTCTCCCGACCTTCGATGGGGTGCCTTTGGTGCCAGCGTTGGAGGTTAGGAGTTTGGGAGTGCTCCTGGATTCCTCCTTAACTATGGAGGCCCAGGTAGCAGCCACTGCCAGATCTGCTTTTTACCATCTGAGGCAGGTTCGGCAGTTGGCCCCCTTCCTCGACCGCGATGACCTGGCTACAGTGATCCATGCGACGGTCACCTCAAGATTAGACTACTGTAACGCTCTCTACATGGGGCTGCCTTTGTTGCAGATCCGGAAGCTGCAGCTAGTGCAGAATGCGGTGGCCAGGCTGTTGATGGGTCTCCCCAAGTGGGAGCACATCCGGCCTGGGCTGAAGGCGCTGCACTGGCTGCCAATGGCATACCGAATCCGCTTCAAAGTGCTGGTACTTAACTTTAAAGCCCTATATGGCCAGGGTCCGACCTATCTGAGGGACCGTCTTTCTCCACATATACCACCAAGAGCACTTTGGTCAGGGACCCAAAACCGTTTGGTGATCCCAGGTCCCCAGGAGGTAAAGCTTGCTGCGACAAAAGCGAGATCCTTCTCAGTGGTGGCCCCTACCTTATGGAATGAGCTCCCGGAGGAGATCAGAGCCCTGTGGGACCTTATGCAGTTCCGCAGGGCCTGCAAGATGGAGCTCTTCCGCCAGGCTTTCGCATAGGGGCCGCCGCTGCCACCAACAACAATGGTGGCTATACATCGAGATCGGGAATGGCCCTTGGAAACCCAGCCAAAAATGATGTGGCATTGACAATGAGGGATTGGCACGAATGATCTACTGGACGGCGGTACCCCAAAGATGCCATCATAACCATCTTATCACTGAAAGCACTTTATTGTTCTTAGTATTGT